ATTACCTATTCAAGCCATCTCCAAGCATTAATGTTAGGCTTAATTCATTAAGTTTGATGAGTACGTTTCTAAAATTTACTGAATATTTCAAAATAAACATTAAAAATTGACAAATTAGATTTATAAAACATAAAAACCAGAAAAATAAAACGTCTACAAGCCTAAAACATGAATATTAAATGCCTTAACTCTATGTGTATGGGTATTAAAGTGTGCAAGCCACAACCTTTTCTTAAGTACAATTCAACATATGTATTTGATTTCACAGTTATCAACTATTAATTTCACCCTACATTGTTTACTTAGTGATAGTTTGTGGTAGATGAGAGGAAATACCAGATACAATATAAAGACAAAAACTGTAGATATGCATTTCAGAAGTTCTAGAGATTATGCAAATACAACACACAAATTGTACAACAGATAAAAGTATTTATATTCTTCACATGAACATCACCTTGCACTCCAATTTGTCAGAGTTTTAGTCATGCTGACATCAATTCACAGACATCTTGATTACAAGTACTTTTTTAACAACCAATTTGTTTTTACAAAAAGACTTGTGCATTTAACTAAAATGTCAGACAACATTTTGTCTACATAAATTCGGAATTACAGTCAACATTCTTTCTCCAGTGCATGGTCAGTCCACTGGACCACCTCAGCATACTACAGACATGACTATTTGTTTAAACTCAAGCAGCTACAGCTTCTATGAGCTGATGCAACTCTGTTTCCAATCCATGAGTTGATAAAACTGAGTGACAGAGACTTCATAAATTCACAACAAAGATCACAGATACAATTCAAACATATAGATTAGTGAAGTCAGTTTTTTTAATGTTATTATAAACTGCAATAATAATAATATCCATGCACGAAAAATTTTTAAACCAAAATAAATTAGTGTAGAGACTTGGAAATTTTTTTCTGTTTTTGGTCTGGAATTATAACTCTCACAACGAATTTTACGCTCAGTGTGTCCGTTTTTAGTTACCTATATAACACTGCAGCAAGTTACTTGTATTTACGTTCCAAAAAACAGAGCTTCAAATATTGGAATTTGTATTTAAGAATAATTTGTGTATACCATCATTAAAGTTAAAAGGGTTTTTGTTGTTAAAATACCTAAGAATATTAAATGGTGAGAATTCATTCAGAAATTAATGTACCAATTGTTGGATAAATTAAAGAGGTCAATGAATATGCTTTATTTCAGTGTCCTTTGAAATTCTGTAAAGTGATTCCATTTCAAAAATAGTGAAAAAAAACTTCCCTCTTCCAAATGTTCAGCTTTTTTATTTAAAAAACACGATCCAACTTGAACGGAGGACTGACATTTGAATCTGTATATTCTATATATTCATTTTCAGGTTCACCATTTCATACCAAAGATGATTCATTTATGAATTCCCACACCGATAAACACTGACGTAAGAATTAAAATTTGTAACTGTTTTGTTACATAAAAGAAACATAAATCGGCTTTGTTCTTTTTAAAAATTTCTTCTTTTGTGCCTTTTATATTTTGTCTTACACTACATGAAAATTAAACAACAAGTCCCAGTTTCACTGCCTCGAGCTTATATTTATTAATGTTTATAATAAACTCCATTTCCTGTGCATGCTTTTAATTAATTAGAAAAATTGTAAATTTAAGTTCAGAGAATTTTCAGACTAATTTCCAACTGCTAGCCCATCTCACTTTTTAAAAATAAATTCAAGAATATTTATGAAATGCTTGATTAGGCACACATTCAGAAAATTACAATAAATAAATTTAGAAAAACAGAATACGGTATTCAGAAACCCAATAATGATTAATTGCTTAAACTTTAGTGTATAACATACTTGAGGCGGGTCATGTCTGCCCAGCCATCATCATGAACGTTAGTATTACGGAAAAAGAAGACTTACCAAGTGGCAGAGATGTGATCTTATTGTCCTTCATATTCAACTTGGTTAAGTTGTTGGCACGAGAAAATATGCCAAAAGGAATTCTGTTTATTTGATTGTGTTCCATGTTGATAGACTATGGACGAAATTTAAATACATAGTTAAAATTAGATAATATGCATTTCAGCAAAAAGTTATTAAACTTCCCAAGTTCAATAAAACTACCCTTTAAGAACAATCATCTTGTAACATGCAGGAATACCTCTACATCTGAGAAATCAAGTTATTACTAAACCCTTGTGAAACAAGAACGACAAGCCTAAGTTCCTAGTGGGAGACCGATACACTGAGAACTATATATTTTGTTATTTTTCATGCTTTGTAATATAGAATTGAACTATGTATGTCTGAAATTTGTAGGTTCATTGATGTATGCATCATCTGTGGAGGTCATATGGTGTATATCTCACCTTTATAGATTAACTGACATTTATCAGATATTTGTAATACGTTCAACTCAATTTACTCACTCACAAGATAACTTGCACTGAGAAGGATTTTTACTGATCAAAAATCATTACTCACAAGATAATAAGGTTGATTTTTAAAACTGAGTTGTTTAGGGGAATTATAAACTGAAAATTCAGAACCCAACTCTTGCACAATTGATATGTTACACACAAGTCAAAAAGCTAGGCTACTATGTACAAATATTAACTTAATTAATTAAAGTACACATAAAAAAAAATTCTAGACTTAATAATGAGATGAGGAGGTAACAACAATACTACAGACACAATAACTCTGTGACCACCAGCTCACAAAAAATTTTGTGGTTATTTATAGAGCCAAAAATCAACTACTTTAGGACCTAATTGTACAGTATGTAGAAGATAACTTACGTATACAAAACAAAATTGTGAGGGTCCTCCAACGGGATATGATGTGAAAGCATTTCGTGAAAGAGTAAGACTTGTTAGGTGAGATAGACTAGAGAGCAGTCCTTCCTACATAGGCAAAAAATACCTTGGTTAAAATTAAAGCCCAAGATACGGCTCCAAAACGTAAGTTATTTAATACAATCAAACACTGTAACATTACTAACAAGTAACATCTTACTGAGAAAGTACAGCAATGAATAATGTTAAGTAGTATCCTGGCTTCTGAATGCTTCTCCCTTCTGAGATACACATATTTGGTTTAACTATCATTTACACGCACTTACTTTCTAACCAAATAAACAACCCCTCATTACTATGGGGTTAAATTTTCCTGTGCATTAATAATTCCTCATTTCAGGAATAACACATATGTTTAAGACAGATACTGTTACTTACTGGTAACTGAGACAAGTTGTTACTCTCAACATTAAACTCGGTTAACTTGACACAGTTGCTGAGTGACTGTGGAATAGAAGTCAGCTGGTTATATCTAGGAAACAAAAAAGTATCTCAGAAACATAACAGGCTAATCAGATGTTTATGTCTAGAAAAAAAAAGGCTTAGAAAATTAACTTATCGGCTGCCCGTAACAAGTAAAAGTAACAATTCCAATGAAATGTTTAACCAATTAGCTGTTTACACTTATAACAAAAGTATCAGAAAAATATTTAATTAATCAGCTAGTTATATGACGAAAAAATATTCTCAAAAAAATTTAATAATTCAACTGTTTATGCTTAAAAAAAGTCTCAGAAAAAATATTTAATTAATCAGCTAGCTATAACAAGAAAAAGTCTCAAAAAATATTTAATAATTCAGCTGTTTATGTTTAGAAAAAAAAAAGTCTCAGAAAAATATTTAACCAATCAGCAAGCTATATTTAGAAAAAGAACAATCTCATAAAATTATTTAACCAATCAGCTAGTTATGTTTAGAAAAAGAACAATCTCATAAAATTATTTAACCAATCAGCTAGTTATGTTTAGAAAAAGAACAATCTCATAAAATTATTTAACCAATCAGCTAGTTATGTTTAGAAAAAGAACAATCTCATAAAATTATTTAACCAATCAGCTAGTTATGTTTAGAAAAAGAACAATCTCATAAAATTATTTAACCAATCAGCTAGTTATGTTTAGAATAAGAACAATCTCATAAAAATATTTAACCAACAAATTGGTTTGAAGCACTGTATCTCAAATACATGTAAAGTTTTCTAATTTAAAATGGAAAGACATGATTGTTATTCGTTATAACATTTCTAAATTACCTGCAATTGGGTTAAAATGCAAGGAACTTGTGTAAATATTTAAAATATCCAAACAACCAATGATGTATAATATGCAATTAAAATTCACCCTGAGGATGAATGACACTGAAACATGTAGTGTCTTTTATAACCACTGATCAGTTTTTTTAAACAAAACTTTAATTGTGTATTACATAATGTTGATCATTTGAGAAGTTTAATATTTTACATGCAAATGTTTCATCTCATTTATATGTATTACCTATAAAACAAAAGGATTTTCAGGACAAACAAATATCAATTTTTAAATGGAACTGAGGTATACTACAACTTTCATGTAGTAGACAATTTATTCATATCAGTGTTAGCATTAGGCTTGAAGAAAGCAACATTACAAGTCTGAACATGGTTGCAAACAGGTAAACTTTATTTTGTGAATATAAAACAACACACCCGTTATATTCACGATTCAGTAATTAAAAAGAATTAGAGTAGAGTCGTTTCTTTCGTATGCTACCATTGGTAAGTAATGTTGTTTGATGTTGGCAAGATGCGTTTATGTGTTCATACGGCAGATATGTTCATCAATCACTATATTTTCAATCTAAAAAAAATAAATTCAAATTGTGATGCATTCCATTTGCTATTCAATAGTAATTTTTCCAACTACTGTACAGTGATATGATATGAGTACAGTAAGATTCCTTAAGATTTAATCTGTTTTGCAGAGGTATTCTATATATATGCAGTCGGCCAAACTTTGGATTAGTCTGGTTCACAGTGGTATACTGCAGGTGCAGAAGGCCTACCCGAGAATCAGTCTGACTTAATGTGGCATAAGTGTATTGGAACTTCCTGGAGTTAGTCTCATCTATAGTACCATAGTACGACTTCAGTATGGCAATTAAAACTAGGCTTTACGTTGGTACCTCTTAGCAGTAAAATGTACTTATTTAAAACCTTATCTGATACATGGGATGTTATGACATCAAAGTTGGTTCACCAAGTGCTTGTTATAACTACTGGTACATTATAAGTATAGTAAATCACAAAGCTGAGACTAGACTGTTATGACTGCAGAGTTAACTTACCTGATACCTGGTGTATCTTGAGTGCAGTAAATCATTATGCTGAGATATCTTAATGTTATTACTGCAATATAAAGCTTACATAAGATCTGCTATATCCACTGGTAAATTATGAGTGCAGTTAATCACTCTGATTAGACACCTTACCTCAAACTTAGCCAGATTACTGATAAGTCTGACTGCATTACTGACACCTTACCTCAACCTAGCCAGATTACTGATAAGTCTGACTGCATTACTGACACCTTACCTCAAACCTAGCCAGATTACTGATAAGTCTGACTGCATTACTGACACATTACCTCAAACCCAGCCAGATTACTGATAAGTTTGACTGCATTACTGACACATTACCTCAAGCCCAGCCAGATTAATGATTAGTCTGACTGCATTACTGACAGAACTTTTCAGTGTTAATTAAATTAATGAAATACATAACATACCGAAGACCAAGTCTAGTCAGAGATTTCAGCTGACCTATGGATTCTGGGATATCTACAAGTTCATTGTGTTGAACATCAAGGGATGACAGCTGAGAACACTGGCCTATTTCTATAAACACCAAACAAAAGAAGCTAAATACTGAGTGACCTGTATTTATAAGGAATAAAGGTGACTATGAATAAGGTGATTTACTTTTATTAATCACTATGTAAATGTTATACAAAAATTAAGCTTATTTCTGTAAAGTATGAGGAAATGAAGACAGCTGTTAATATAAAGGCCTATAAGATAAGGTTAAAAAAAAACTACTGTGTTACGATGAAATAGAAAATAAAAAATGGAAAAAACTTATTCCACGAAAATTGGGTAATGCGAAGATTTATAATCATCCGAGGAAGGGCGTCCCAGCCCAAAACGTTGTGGATATTAAAACACCTATTTTTCCATTTTTCATGCTATGTTTTTTCCATTTTTTTTTTCTAGAAGATAAGGCTACTCTATTTTTTATTAACCACACAGTACAAAAACATTAACTGGAAAAAACAAGATTGCCTTATTTCTCTAAACATCTATCCAAGAACATGAACTATATATACAATGGGCTACTTCTGTTAAATCTTTGGTGACTGTACACATACTTGTTCTATTTCTATAACTACTATTAAATACAAAATTTTCCATATCATCAGTAAACATTACAAGGCTTTAGTATACAAAATATCAGATTTTTGTATTAAGTTTTCAGATTTTTTAAGTAATGATTTGCTTGTGCATTTTTTCTTTTTGAATGTTGACTATCCAACATGCAAAGTAATTTTGATTTTAAGTTTAAAAATACTTTTATGCACCAGAAAATTGTCAAATTTCACATGCAAAATCTTTATAACCTTCTCGTGACCTCCAGATAATTATCAAATGTTTTCTTTTTAGAAAAACTTTATATTTTATCTGTTATTTTCACTATTGTATTTCTGTATGGATCTAGTCGATTTGACCGACTTCGTAACCAACATAAAAATTAGAAAATAGATATACATGTTTTTGTTCCAAAATGACTACAAATTATAACAAGAAACTCCAAATGTTTAGTCTAAATAGCTTAAATCTCATAACATTATACACAAATATATATTTATTATTTTTATTTTATTGACCTTTCAACCACATGTGCCTAAAATTACAGATGTTGCAATGACGCAGTGCACATGCACTCATGTTACCATATCCAACAGTATTCATGATGTTAGAAAAACACGTAGGTTCAAGAACTTTGCCCCTGAAGAAGAAAGGTCCACCTTTCAAAAGTGCTCGGGTTATAGGGTTTTTATTCATATTCAATAGTATAAAACTCGCCTTTACAAAGTGACCTGTCTTCAGTTTGTTCTAGTGAACCAGTATTTTTTTAAATAGAGTCACATATGCATATATATTATTACTATTTACAAATAAATTCTTAAATCTCAGTTTTTAAAACATAGAACGATAAAGAAAACAATGATTTTTTTCTACTTACAAACTTTGTACTCGTTTGCCCGCTTGCCGTAATTTATTAAGCCTTGTCAAATTTCTTAGGTAGAGGATGTAAAACAAAATACTTTTAGGTTTTATATATGCATTGTGAAATAATTTGCTAAGCCTTGTCAAATTTCTTAGGTAGAGGATGTAAAACAAAATACTTTTTTAGGTTTTATATATGCATTGTGAAATAACCAAATATTACAAATTACTCTATCAATATCACAGAATTCCACTGTAATTTATCAGGCTTACTAACTAAACTGTATTTGGGTCAAAAAAAATAATTGTTTATTGGACAACATTTTCCCTTACCCCTTCCTTTTGAGATTCGAGAGAAATAAATAATCTTGGGAACTTTCCACCTTCTAGAGGCTGATAAAAAAAAGGTGGGGGACATTTTGAGCTTTTGATTGGTTATTCACACGTCATAGACAAAAGTAAGTGTACATAAGCAAGTATTTTCAAAAATGAAAGTGGTGGGCTAGACACTGTGTTTGATTCACTAAACGTAGTGATCTCTCAGCAAATAGAAAAGATAGGAGGTTCCTATTTTATATTCTAGCTTGACAATATCAGTAATTTGAGTTTTTAATTCATAAGAAACTATAGATTTTGTATTTGGACAGCATAAACATCTAATATTAACCAAACATACCACATGACACAAAAAAATTGATATTTACGAATATGTTTTAACATTTACTTTTAAATTAAGAAATTAATTAATGTATAATAGTAAAATTTGAATTATAATTTACAATGTGATACCAAACTTATTGGCATAGAATCACAAGATGGTAGATCAACAAAATTTGTAATGTAAGTCCATAAACATGATGACATGCCCTTTAACCCCTGACCATAGGATGACCCATAGTAAAAGGGCTAATAATGGGATAAGAAAGTAAGTTAAGAGACACTGATTAATTCAATAATCTCAAGATAAGAAAGGGGAACCAAAACTCAGTGATATAAGCCTAAAAATAAAAGTTGAGAAAATTAATCAGTTTCATCTACACCTATAAATAAAACTACTAACTGAAATACATACTAATTTCTATAGATATAAAATAAAGAAAGCTGTAAAACAATTTATAAACACAGTGTTAGAGAGTTATCTAGAAGAGCAGTTCTGAACCTTTATGACTGACATTACACTAAACTAACCCTCACTTGTTCAAGTCCTGTACACTACCTACGTAATAGTACTACTAGTAGGCCTAACAACAATACTATTATCTCTAGCATTTTTGCATGTCAGTTAACTGACACTCTCATCTGTTTTTACATTTTGTTTCTCTTAAGAACTCATTAATCAATAAATTTATTTTCACAGAATAAACATTACAACCAAACTGTATCACTCTGACGTCAAGCATGCTGCAACTACAACAAAAGGCACTCATCTCAAACCATGTGACTAGAGCAAACCAATCACAGAGGTTGGTAGTGTTGCCAATTGTGCTACTCTTTTTAGTAATACAGTGCTCATGTTAATCATTTGTTTAATTCTATAGAATTTTTGTTGTTGTTTTTATATTACTAATAGCAGTAACTCTTGTAAGACCTCATGTAACCATGGGGTGTGCAAGTACATTCTAACTGGCTATTCCAATAATCTAATAAAATACAAAAACTAAATAAAAAACAATGATTTATTTCCATAGATTTTAGAAGCTACTTAATTAAAATAAGACTATCCAATACAATAATTATAATAAATAAAATGAGCAAGAAAATATTGTTATAAACCTTGAGCGTGAAGAAATGTGATTAAACTTATACATGTATAAGTCTAGCCTGGATCTATCTAACCTTTGAAACACACACACGATACATATTCATAACTTGAATTATTTCTATAACACAAGGTATGTAAAGTAAATGGAACACACACAGACTATTTGTACTATTTATTTAAATACAAAACAATAAATTGGCTGAAATACTTGTTTTGTTTCTATCAACATGACTGCAAAAAGATTTGAGTGAAAAGCAATGAAATGATATGAACTCAAACTGGAAATAAAATCACTGAAGAAGTACAGAGATCCTGCTTAGATAAACAAAATGTGGGAGGTTTGTATAGATATAATTCTACAACCAAAAGATGGTCAGTTAAAATATTAATAACCTGACCATATACACGCATTAAGGTATGAAGTCTATAATTAATTAATTCTCATTAGTGCCTATAAAATGTAAAAATCTATTGAGAAAACACTTATAAAAATATGTAACAATAACCTCACGACTAAAATTATGTTTACAGGAAAAGGGGATATTGCACAAAGTTACACAGTTGGCTATGTGTGCTTCATCCACCATTAGGAAGAAACCTTTGATTTTTAGTGTTATACACCTGTAAACTATGTTGAAAATATTAAATGTGCTTCCATAGGGTCTTCGAAAAAAATTCTGTTTCAAGAATAAATAAAACCAGGATTAATAGTAACAAATAATTTTATTTCTTGCCTTTGAAGTTCATATGTCATGCTGTGTTGTTGCCTATAGAGTGCACAATTCTTCTCGTGGTTTATGGCATACACACATTTTAGTGATGTTATGACAGAACAAGTTGCTATGTTAAGCATCCCCTATGTGATGTCATTTTAGTGTCTACTGACCGACTGACAGACAACACATTACTGTATAGTGGTGCAAGTAGTTAAAACAAGTGACCCCTTCAGGTATTGGACTTCAGCCCCCTTTTGGGGAAATGAACTGCATCATCAGATAACATTATGTGTGTGTGTGTGTGTGTGTGTACATATTTTACAGAAATACATTTATAAAGTTCTAATCTATAGTAAAACAGCTGTACAGATCACGAGCACAGTCACAAAATTATCTGTGCCAATCATATTTTTCTAAGCAACTTTACAGAAAATATGTTTTAGGCTTACGTGTAAAATGCTTTTATTTTAATCTTTTTCTTTTTTTTCACTAAGAATCACGTGACTTTTCATTGAAAGAGAAAATAAAGTAAGTTATGGGAAATACATAATGCAAAATGGTTAGGTAAACACCAAAGTTACTACTGTTATACAAGTAATTCTGATAATTGGCAATTCTTGAGCCACATATAAAGTAAAATAGCCAAAGGAATTATTTTTAATCCAAATATGATATCAAATTTGAAAACCTACTCCAGTTGGGTGAGAGCTAAACAATGAAAAATATATTAAAATAAAAATATTTGTAACACTCAAAACAATAACTTCATTTCTTTCATTTGTTAGAAAATGTACAGTTTTGGTAGCTACAGTAAGCATTTTGAGTCCTTTTAAGTTTTAATAAACAAGATTAAAAAATGATGCCTTACTTACTTCCATTTGCTTTATTATTACAGATCTGTAATGTCTGTAAATGTCCAAGAACTGAAGGTCAACCACCTCAGTTATAGTTAGGTGTCATGTAAGACAGGCCTTCATAAGCAAGCACTTAATGAGTGATTTATAATGAAAGTTACTTATTCATAAAAGGTTCACACACATAAACATATTTGCTTCTTGCTCACCAAATGGTAGGTGCTTTAGATGGTTATTGGAAGCGTCAAACGTAACAAGAACTGTCAACTTCCCAACCCCAGCAGGAAGTTCCCTTATTTTGTTCTCTCTTAGACTGAGCATTGACAGGTTCTGGAAATATTACAAAACCACTGGATCAAAAAAAACATGTGATGAGGTATTTCTATAATACTCATTTTTATATTATCCTAGACTGATAAACAACTTGTTAAAAACAAATGTTTTTACATTTCTTATTGAAAAGTTATCTATGAAACCAGAAATTTTAATTATAGAACAAAAGGTCAAACATGAAGATAACATTCCTTTCCCACTGTGTACATGTTTTATTTCCTTTTTTTGCCCAAATGAGCTCCTCAAAAACATTAAACAACATTTATTTACTTTTAGCTCTCAATTAAAATAATCACACGACAACTGTTATCTGCACGTATTTTGAATAATTGTTGTAATTTCTTGAATATCTTCTATAAAATAATAATTTTCATTTAATTAAATAGGGAAAAATGATCACCTAAGTGCAAATAAAACGTATGTATGCAATAGATCTAAAAAATCATAAGCAATAAAACAGAAAATTCAAAGATTTTAAACTTAGTTTTTGACTCTTCAGATATTTACAACAGTGATTTCTATGTCATTTCTGAACTGAATAATACTTCTAATGGTTATCATGACACAAAGAGAACATGTATAGTAAAAGTATAAAGATAAATCACAAAAGAAGATACCTGTGACTTTTAACGTCAACTTGCTTTTTTATTTTACCAAGTTTTTACAAGTATTCTATCAACACTTTATGAAAAGTAGTATTTCATTCAAAATCATTAAATAAAAACGTTTCTTTACGTATTTACAAAAAACTTATGACATGTATTCAGCATGTTTTTTGCTATTGTTAAAAAGGAAATTCTTGATGTTAGAATGATTTAGAAGGTTTTTTGCTATCATTCCATGCAACTGAGAAAAAAAATAATGAAACAAAGTTCCGAAACAATTACTTTTAGAAAATAAGAATTTTGAACATAATGTGAAAGTAAGAGCAAACCTAATTCAATTAGAATTATTTTGTTTTGTTTTGAATTTCACGCAAAGCTACACGAGGGCTATCTGCGCTAGCCATCCCTAAGTTAGCAATGTAAGACTAGAGGGAAGGCAGCTGGTCATCACCACCCACTGCCAACTCTTGGGCTACTCATTTACCAATGAATTATGGGATTGACCATCACATTATAATGCCCCCATGGCTGAAAGGGCAAGCATGTTTAGTGGGACGGGGAATCGAACCTGTGACCCTCAGGTTGCGAGTCAAGCACCCTAACCACCTGGCCATGCCAGGCCAATTAGAATTATATTAGGTGACAAAGTCTTACAAAGCCACTATCAAAATGTTTAAATTAAAGTCACTTACAACTAGATTAGCTATATCTTCTCCTACTTCACGTATCCTGTTGAACCTTAAATGTAATATTGTGAGAGAAGTCAGTGTGTAAACAACATCAGGAATCTGTAGAAAAACACAAAGATAATGAGCAAATATTAAAAATGGACTTATATTTACACCTAATAACTAAAAATATTTTAAACATATCATTTGATACAAATTTGATTTCACTTACATCGTACGATAACTAGTGTAGATAAAAATACAGACTGTTCACAGTTTCTTAACAAAGCTGGATAGGATATTCACCATTTATCAAAACACCTAACATTAGTTCCTAGTAAAAACATTTTTGGATATGATAGGGCCATAAACAGTATACACATGAACCTCAAGTCTTAAAAACAACAAAATTGTTAAATGCTGTTCTGTGTCGATAACACAGTTATGAGCAGTGCTCAAATTGTGATAACTCAACAAAGGCAACTCAATAAATATAATGAAAGAGGTATACACTGTACTGGTATATAAATACACCTGTTACTATATCAGCGATCAACCATTAATTAGATCAAAATTAAAACTTAATTACAACTTCATATAAACAAACATTATGATCAAACTAAAAACCAACTTTGCCAATGGTTAATGGAGATATGGGATGAAATTCATATTTGTATTATCAATGGTAATGATGATACTCTTTGATCCCTTTCAGTTCAAGCACTAAATGGGTTACTTACACTATACAAGTCAAAATATTTTACGTATATATCATAATAATGAATAAACTAAAACGGTTTAAATAATCCATGTAAATTTATAACAGATAAGTAACAATAAAATGTTTGCAAGGAACTCTACAATCACTAACACGCACACAAACGTTGCAAAATATTGAATCTAAGCTGAAACTCATAAGCAGACAGCCATCAAACATGCCTAATTGTATTTTTAAATACCTGTTTCCATCACTTGAATCTTTCCTATATAATACATTTATGAATCTTTCCTGTATAACTTACCTCATTTAATTTATTATGTCGAAGATCAAGAACCTTAAGCTGCTTGAGATTAGCCAATGTATCTGGTAAACTAGTAAGAGAATTTTCATTAAGGGCTAATGTTTCAAGATTGACTAAGCATCCAATCTCTGGCGGCAGTGTTTGAAGTTTATTACTGTAGAGGTAAAACTCTTTTAAATGGGTCAGCTCCTTTACTGAAGATGGTAGAACAACAATCTAGGTAAAAAAAATTTCAATTGTGATATGCTAGTTATCTCATTCAGGTTTTAAACTAAGATACGATATCTCTACGTGCTCCATTCTTTGCCGTGTATAACTTTGCATAAACAACTGCCGATGAAACTTTACAAGTTACAGATTATATAAAATTGCTTAAGATAATGTGCTAAAATTCAATCTATAAGCAGTTCTCTACAAACAAATGCTAACAAAGTAAAACAAATTAATACTGGTATAACAATTAAATTTTAAGAGCAAACACATATGTTGAAATATCTAAAGAAACTGTGATCAAAACCTTTCTATTCAAAGTACAGAAATTGTAATTATATAAAAAGTTCCTATTAAATTTAATTCAAAGGTTTAGTCTAAAACAGGGAATGTTATCACAGTACTATTGTAATAACGTGAGAAACACTTGTGTTTTCCTTCTAATGGCAAGATTATAAGAAAGTATACAAAGGGTTGTCCACAATCTTTAGCAACTATACAAGAATGAAAGTCTACGATTTACGGCTTCTTCTTTCACTATTGGCTTCTACAGAATTCACTAAAGTCAATGTTGTCCCTTTTCATTTTACATGCTTCCCAAAGTCCATGAACTGTGAAAAAGTGACAACTTCTGAAGTCCTGTATGAACAACACAAAGGCACAGAAGTTTATGGAAGATATCTGTGAATGGTGTAACATGAATTCCTATTAGCATTTGCATCTTGTTGATCAGTTAAAATGTTGGCTTGGATGTATGGCTGGATATTCTGTCTTGATGGAAACATACATAGGGGCATTCAGTCCATACAAAGACAGTATTTCCTTGAGATTTAGTGGTACAATCACATAGTGTGCAGAGTTCATAATACCATTTATGTCAATTCTTTGGATGTTTAACTTGCCAATACTGTTGCAACCTGCAATCATAATAAAACTTTAGAAACTTGCTCTGAGCCATATTTGAAATATCACCAACAGGATGACTTTTACAAACACTGAAGTCTAATGTAATGACATACTTCCATTTGTCATATGCCAAATTCTACTTGTACACATTTCAACAATTGGTCTTCTCTTCAGCTGTTTGCTTTGGGAGAAGCTTATGAACATGGCTCTTGTGTTGCTCCCATAGCCTTAAAATGATGTGATATATTTTCTTACAATTCCAATAAAGGCCTGTACTTTAGCTTTAATAAACCAATGTGTTCTTAGGTAACTTCCAGTGACAAGCTGTTTAGCTTTCTTCACTACCTACAGTGTGGATTTGATAGTCAGTAGTGGAGTAGCCTGATTTTTCTTTGCTGAAATCACACATTCCCTTGCTTTATTGATACAGCTCAATACTACAAATATTCCTTTCTTCAAAGAGCTAAGATTTCATGCTTTTATAAACATGGAATAAGAAAGCTTTATGTTGGAAAATCCTGTAATGAAACCTCCTCCACAGAAGGGGTCAATGTTCGGGCACCATATGTACAAGAAAATCATCATACTTCAACTAAATTGAAAATAACAAGGTCAGGGCTTTTAAGTTGTAAAATCACATGCCACAGTGATGGACAGAGGCAAGGTGGATGGATATACAAACTGTCACGATACACTATAAACCACCACCTGTAGCTTACAAATGTTAAAGAAATATGTAGCATACAAAGAAACCTATTCAATATTGCCATTGCATTATATTTCGAGCATTAATCAAATTTCTTTCCAAATGGGAATTGTCTATCATTAAGCATATTTAAAAAATATTTAAAAACCGATTTTTCCCCATATATTAATTGTATTACTGATACATCAGACACACTTTTGATGCTGTTAAGCATGGTATACTGCTGAAAAGTTATGACGATTCATTGCATAAAATCAGGTAATGTTTCTAAAGGTTCTCTTATAATTTTAAATTAAAACTACTCCTGATCTTAAAATGTGACAACTGTTAAGCCATTATACTACTAGTGCCATCCATGAATGCAATAGTTGTTATATCACGTACTGCCATGCCAAATTTGGAAGTGACAGTTATTATGACATCTCATACTACTAGTGCCATCCATGAATGCAATAGTTGTTATATCACGTACTGCCATGCCAAATTTGGAAGTGACAGTTATTATGACATCTCATACTACTAGTGCCATCTATGAATGTGATAACTGTTGTTATATAACGTACTCCGATGCCTCATTTGGAAGTAACAGCTGTTACAACATCATATACTAATTACTATGTCACTCATGAATGTGACAGTTGTCATGACATCATGTATTGCTGTACCACTCATGAATGTGACAGTTGTTGCAACATCACATACTCCCATGTCACATTTGGAAGTGACAGTTATGACATTGTGTACTGCTGTGCTACCCATGAATGTAACAGTTGTTGCTCTATTTACATGATTTATTAAAGTAACAGACTGAGTTTTAATTTTTTTTGCAACTAGGCAGGATCACAAGTGAGTACAAGGCTATAACAATACAGTACTGTGCTATTACTGGAGATTTTAAATCAAATAACTTGAAAATATTTCAACTTTTATATAGCCTGTGCAAAACAGGCTAACATTAAATAACAATGCAACAAGTATTACATGAACAGACATAAACAAAGTTTATTTTACATATTTTGGAGGGCTAAACGTGCATGTTTACCCATTCAAAACATGTAAGGTCAACCTGCTTATGTCTCTTTACATATTACTTGTATCAAAATAATTTGTTGTAACAGAAAATGTTGCATTGTTATTTAATTTTATAACATGGAGATATTTTTTACTACACAATACCTTACTTCTAAACTTTAACTGTCATGTTTGTAATGTACAACATACATATCTCACAGTTATTGACTGTTATAACATGGAAATACTTTATATTTTGTACTGCACAATACCTTACTTCTAAACTTTAACTGTCATGTTTCTAATGTACAACACACATATTTCACAGTTATTGACTGTTATAACATGGAAATACTTTATATTTTGTACTACACAATACCTTACTTCTAAACTTTAACTGTCATGTTTGTAATGTACAACATACATATCTCACAGTTATTGACTGTTATAACATGGAAATACTTTATATTTTGTACTACACAATACCTTACTTCTAAACTTTAA